GGGGGGGGGGGGAGCTAGAGAGAGGGGGGGGGTTATTCATCATCACCTTGCAGCGCAAAGTAGAGACCGTGAGACGCACGCACACCTGTCCCTGAACACAGCATCTCCCGAGACTGGAGACACAACTTCATCTTCAAAGGTCATCGCACATTGGGTGTTCTTACTATGCGGTGGGATTGTGCAGATCAAAACAGGAAACGCCTGTAATCTTGGTTTTCCAAAGTCTTATGTCCCGTGCGAATCTACTGTCGTGCCCCACACTGTCAGCGGACGTCGAGATTGTAGAAGTTTCTTCCGTAGTAGATGGGATTGCAGCCCTTGCGATAGGTTCGGTGTTGGTTGACCTCTAGCAACATCTTCTGTGCAAAGGCCACAAAATTCATTCCTGGAGCCATCTCATTCCAAGTTGCTCGAAGCATAGGAGCCGAGGCCACCAACAACGTGCTCTTTAAAGCAGAATTCAGGCGACAGGTGACAACATGCTTGTCGTCGACAAAACATAACTCTCGCTGTGGTATATTCGGACCCCAAGGACTTACGACTGAACAAGCTCGCGGCTGGACATTTGGTGTAAAGCCCCCAAGACGAACTCACTTATTATACGGCGGCGGCGCAAGCCACCGAAACCCTTGTACAATATTCAGTTCAAATACGAGGCGTCTTTACAGCAAAGTGTGTCGCCCTTGTACATTGTTCGGTTCACATACGAGACGTATGTATTTACAACAAAGTGTGCCATTCAGTAAGCAAGCCCCAAGACATCTCCACCCGATTTTCTCCGTCGCACGGACTGCTGTACGTGTTTTTGCCTAGGTCTCTCGCGTACTCACGAGAGCAACGATGCGCGTCGTTGTACAGAGAGTGAAGCGAGCAAGCGTGGTGGTGGAGCACAAAGATGCAGATGGCACGTCCTTGGAACCATCGACCGTTGTCAGCGAAATTGGCAAAGGGATCCTCTGTCTCGTCGGCGTCAAGGAGGGGGACGAGAGGGGGCATGCAGAGTGGATCTGTAAGCAGATCGTGACCGCAAAGCTGTTTGAGGGAATGTCTGAGGCGAACGCAGACAAGAAATGGCGGTCCAATGTCAAGCAAAACGGCTTCGAAATACTGTTGGTGTCACAGGCGAGTTACTAAAGCTATGCATGTTGTGAACATGCAACCGATCGGCGTGACCTAGTGCTTGTTCACCAATGCACGTCATTCGGGTCGGTGTGTTATTATGGACAGTTCGTTGCTGGCGTATCTGGTTCATGTACTACAGATGAGGTGCTGGAGATTGGTTAGAACAGGGTATTAAGTTAACGTGAAAACAACAGCTACGGTGTCATTCGGCATTGAAGCTAAAATGACAAGGGACACCAACACGCAAAAAGCCATCCTGCCACCCATTTAGTCCTAATTGATAGTCGCTGAGCCGGAAAAACGTTCCTTCCACGCTTGTATTCGCACAAATTACCTACGTAAACTTTTGGGCAAACGTGGCATATATTTGACCAAGGACCGTGTGTACTGTGAGTGTCAACGCGCTAACTCCGAAGTTGTCCATGCACGGCGAAATCGGTAGCGGTATTTGCTCGGGCACCAGAAGGGCGCACAATGAAAAAAACCTCTGGAACTCTACATGCTGCTATACGTAGAAAAGTGTTGGTCTGCGATGATACAGAACGCGCCAGCAATGTTAATAGTTCAGAAAGTGAGGGTTCGATTTCCAGATATATCAAGAACTTGGAACCGTACCCACTTGGAACCGTACCCACGCGAAAACCTTGTCGTTTGTATTTGATTTCCGGTCGGTTTCCCCACTGATCAATAAAAAAAGGAGTTGCGCAAAATCTGATTTTCTGAATTGGTTGCACACTTTGTATGTGTGTGTTGCTTCTTGGGATGTGTGACGGATCGAGGTTGCCCAGATGCCGCGGAAAGGAACTGTGCTGTTGTGGATCGTTTTGTCATACGTTATATCTGGCCTGCGCTACACGAGAGATGCATTCCCCCTGAAAGGTTTCCTCTCGCCCGCCGTGTTTTAATGCCAATGGGTTCTCGGCGCGCCACTCGTGGGGGCGTCTCACGCCACCATCCTATTCGACATAATCTCCTCGGAAATCGTGCATGTCGAACTGCAGTTTACCCTCAACGGGCGAGTGTGCTCCAAGGGCAAAGTGGACTTCACCGGTTCGATGCCCCCGGCAGAAGCTAGGGAGTTTTACAACCGCTTTGTAGACATGGTCAAGAGCGCTCACGCACCCGAACTGGTGAAAGACGGAGTGTTTGGTGCCAAGATGGAAGTCTCGCTTGTGAACGACGGCCCAGTAACCGTGATCGTGGATTCTGGAGAGATGAAAAATGAGACTCCTCTGCCGAAACCGGAGGCGGGCGAAAAGATTCGGGATAAAGTTCCCACTGCTGTACCAGCCTTGGATTCGAAGTGACAACTGGGAGGTAGGATCCATCTCTGAAAGCTTTTTCAGGATTGCGGCTCGGGGTTCTTTAGTTCGGGTTGCGACAAGATGATGTACGCGATTTTGAATACACCTCTGCTAAGACAATCAAAGGAATACAGAATTCTACTTTTAGGGTTAAGGCCGTTTCCCGGCTACTTGCATAAAACCACGTATTTTTACTGCGCGATGTTCTCGACGTTCCGAGTTACGATCTTGGAACCGGGCGGATAGAAGCGAAGCTAATGCAAGTGTGCACCTCAAGTGCAAATTTGGTATCAAAGTCGTTGAAGGGGGTAACGACAATCGCGTCTCAATTTCGGCCTCCGACAGATCTCTGGAGGAGGGCAACGCTGTGTGAGGCATTTCGTCTCTTGTCGTCGCGTTCTCGTTCTCTCTCTCTCTCTTTCTCTGTCTCTCTGTCTCTCTCTTTCTCTGTCTCTCTGTCTCTCTGTCTCTCTGTCTCTCTGTCTCTGTCCCTCGCTGAGGGTGAGTACGGCGGGGGAAGAAGGGGGCTTCAGACAGAGGCCGGGGCTACCCCCGGGCTACGTTTTTGATTTGCTTGTGTTGTTCTGGTAGGTAACGTTGGCAAAAGCAATCCGAAGCGATGCATCTGGACACCGCTATCTAGACAACAAAAGATACAAAAGTATTATACACCCGACTGGACAACCGGCTACTAACGGCCGAGGTGGGGGCATGCTGGGGAATGGCCATCGTCCGCTATTACAAAGATGGTATGCAGATCATTACACGGACGACGGCATTCTACGCAAGGCATTGCACTACTGTGAAAAGGTGGAGAATACCGTCGAGGTGGGAACATTCAATGCATAGCCCACGGTCGTTCTGAAGAAAGTGTCTCGCAAGCAAAATGCGGGAAAGACCGCTGAACGTTGCACCACCACCAGAATCCTGCAAACCCACCGGGAGCAAAGGCTAGAGTGCTGCTACACAGCCGGTTTTGTGAGGTGCGGTGGCTACGGTACACTGCGGAGTCAAGTGGATGATGCACGGGATGGCCCAATGAGAGGTAAATGACAATTAGGTGTTTTTGCCTGGCAGCGGAGGACAACCGTCACCCTCGGTGATGTTGGACGACGGTAGACTATGCTCTTCCACTAGCAAGTAAAAGCTATTGAGCACGCACTGCAGGTCTTGACAGAAAGGCGATGTTCGCACCTTTGCGTTGTGTTTCACTCCCAAAATACCTGCTTGAAACTTCTTGCTAGTGCGGCACTTGTGATAGACTACTAATTTTGGCGATTCAAACCACTGCTGTTTTGGCACCACAGTAGGGCACCGGCCGGCTCGGAGTGGTCCTCACGTTCGTGGGCCTAAATCGCCGAAGAAAGGGCGTGCCTTCGGCGTTGTATACAGGACGGGGTGGTCCAACTACCCCCGGAAATCTAGACAAGGTATCACGCCATGGGGTTCCGATTTGTTTCAGGGAAGCACCGCACTCACCCATGACCGTTAACATCTGAGAGCGGGTCAATTTTCGATGTATTCACAACTCCGAGGTTCAGTGTTTCGGCCATAAACGTTTTCTTGCGAGAAGGACTAGTCTAGTCTACACAAACGCCGAAGACCATTCCTCGGGATCTGCGTTCGAATTCCGACCCGCAAGTTTTGAGAGTTTGGGGTGTTCGACGTGTCTAGAATATAGATTCTCGAAAACATCTTCAAGCGTCATCACCACGCTGTTATCATTCGTGGTCGGTTAGTGCGATCGGCGGTTTCTCTACCGAAAGTTGGAGGACGTGGCCCGGGATCCGGTTTGTGTTCCGGGGAGTGATGGAAAGTCAGGTTGCGGGGGGTCGATGGCCGCTTGCTGAAGTGTAGCAGGCCTTCTGATGCCCTCACTCTCCCCCCAACAACGTGAAACAGCTGTCGATGTTCTTCGAGGGATTTCAACTTGTGTTGCGGCTAAAGTGTAAAGACAAATCTCAACCAAAGACACTATCTAGGTAATCTCTGAAGAGACTTCAGTCCGAAATCACGTTTTGTGAACCTCTCTTTGACTTTAGAGTAGGCCGCCCTACCTACAACCGAAGTCGCGCACCCTTACACCGGCGGGGCGGGTGTCGAAATTGGTCACGAACTTCTTTTTAGCTCTTCTTCCGCAACGGCGAAAGCTCGAGCCCCGTGCTCGAGCATTGTATACGCGTCCTCCGCAAATCTCGTGGAGGTTGTCATGTCTGTGTGTCGAGCTTAGACGAGACACGAAACGCATCAATTTTTTATTGGTTTTGTCGGTCCGATCATCACATTCTTGCGACACCTACCCTGCTGCGCTATGGCCACCACAGAAACTGCGGCAGCCAACCAAACAGCAATCGATACATATATGCCCAGTTTTAAGGCCATCCGACCCTCGCGCCTCCCACAGGTCTTCACGCCACCTATATGCACGACATTTCATCATCTTACAGCAGACCTCGCCCTGCGACAAAGTACAAAGGGTGTTCGGGGGAGATCGTCTTCCGCCAGTAACGGATCTTTGCGACTGTCCTGTGCACCCAATCCGGCTGACAAAGCAGAATCCGACCACGAGAATGGGCAATACTAACCCGCACATGTCTGTAGAGCCCGCTGTCGGCGCTTGTGGACGACGGGAATGCGTGGCATACAGACCGTAACCAAAACTCTCGTGGGGTTAGGACAACAAACCATGAAATACAGCAAATCATCTTTGTCCGATCATCACACTTACTTTAGCAATATCGTTCCCCCTTTGGCGCGCTGCGTCCACCACACTTCTAATATAAGGCGGCCGCAACTGTCTCAATGTTGAAACAAAGCAGTTGTCACACAAACGCGCACGTTCGGGCCTCTTTCTTCATCACTGAAGAATAACAAAGCGGGTGGCTCCAGACTCTCGCCGTAGCTATCCCTGGTCTGTTACTTGGTGTAGACAGCAATAGGGACTTGCTGCGACGTGCTCAACATGACCCTCTGGTGGTGCCGCGTGAAGTTCAGCGTTCCAACTATCACAACACGAGTGTACTTGAGTCAACTGGTGTCAGGATTCTGACATTTTTCACGCCCGTCCCCAGCACCCGCCGTCACGGTACAGGGAGTACGTACAACTACAACGGGAAGGGGTTGGCACGGCGGGTTGTGCAGAGTGATGTACACCGTCAGCTGGGACTGCCTCCCCGGTTGTCCGCAGCCTCCAGAGCAGCGCAAACTTCGTTGACAACCCTTTCGTTTCCGCACACCACCCGACCCTTCCCAGGCTTGAGCACAAACTCCGAGTTCTGCAAATCTCGCACGACGCCTTTCGCCTGGTTTCGATGTACGCAGCATGCATTGGAAAGATGGCTGGGGAAATGAAAAGGATATTCGGCTGGTGCGCTTTTGTAGTAGTTCGTCAACGGGCTTCAAGTCGAAGCGCCGCGATCCACCGCTGACGCCTGCTTCGAAAACACCAAACCAAACCCATGGAAAATGCCCGTACTCTCGAGGAACGGAAACAAAACAGGGCGATGTGAACATGTTGACGACGTGGGACTGCGGCTCACTAATGCGAGATAGGTCTGCACGAACCAACCAGCGGCAGGGCCACGTGGGACACTTCGTGCAGCCCCTCGACGCAGTCATTGGTAGCATCGCTATGTCACGAACAGCCCTGAGTGGCCGGAGCACCTACCGCGACCCCGACGCCCCCTTATAGCACCAGGAGAAACGACGTTGAGCAAAATAGCCGGAGGGGCCCCGCGGGTTGAACAGGGCCCCGCTCACTGCCCGCGACAAAACGTGTCATGATGATCAACGGCGCCAGCAAATACTGCAGTGTTGCACCAACCGCAGTCGAATGAGCCTCACCTCTCTGACGATGACCAGACCCGCGGCGACGTCCCACGGTCCACCATACCCGTCTTCGTAGTAGCAGTCTAACCTCCCGCAAGCGACGTGGCACATGTTCAGGGCCGCCGACCCTGCGCGCGTCGGGTTTCGGCGGAGAGGTGATGAGGAGGTGGCGTGGTGTACAAAAGGACGTATCTGCTATAACACTCTGGCCATTTCTCAATCGATGGCGCTTAAACCTCAGCTATGCGCATTCGTGGTTGTTGGCATGCTGGTGTACCGCAGATATGCGGGGGAGGGTACTCAGGCGTGCATGCAGTAGTCGCCAGACCATTGACCTCGCATCCCTACAAAGCCGGGACGGAGCACGCCGGGTTCTCACCGGACCAGGCTCTCACATCAATAAGCGCAAAGCGCTGTGAGATATTCGGCGAGTCGCATGAAGGGTGCGCTGCATCCTGCTAAGGGTTTTCGGCATCTTGTGCTTACTTCCTTGCGTACGGATGACAGCTGCGTGTGACTTAATTTACTTTCTGGTGCTTTCACTTCCTATGACAGCTGTAAGCGCTGTGTAACTGCCTCGAGGGTGCTTGACCAATTTAACACAACGTGGTGCGATCATCCCCCTTGCGTGGAGTGAGGGTTCTCCACCCCGCACAACATGATCTACTCGACCACCATTCATGGGTAAAATTTACCGCCAAAAAAGAATACCAGAGGAAAAAAAAACGGTAACCTGGTTGCCGAGTTCAAGAAGTAAATGGGCTTGTGTTACAACGTCGTTGGCACGCGACGAATACCCAATCCCGATGGCAAACACCGATGGGGGGGGAGGGGGGTTGTACTCATAGTCGTGCATGCCGTAGTCGTTAGACCATTGACCTCGCATCCCTACAAAGCCGGGACGGAGCACGCCGGGTTCTCACCGGACCAGGCTCTCACATCACCAAGCGCGAAGCGCCGTGAGATATTCGGCGAGTCGCATGAAGGGTGCGCTGCATCCTGATAAGGGTGTTCGGCATCTTGTGCTCACTTCCTTGCGTACGGTTGACAGCTGCGGATGACTTAATATATTTTCTGGTGCTTTCACTTCCAGAGACAGTTGTAAGCACTGTGTAACTGCCTCGAGGGTGCTTGACCATTTTAACACAACGTGGTGCGATCATCCCCCTTGCGCGGAGTGAGGTTTCTCCACCCCGCACAACATGATCAACTCGACCACCATTCATGGTTACCGCCAAACAAAAAAAAGAGGAAAAAAAAAACACGGTGACCTGGTTGCCGAGTTCACGAAGTGAATTGGCTTGTTT